CAAGTGGATTTTTAAAGTTAAAAAGAATGCAGATGGTACTAATTCTCATTTCTCGATATAAGGCCAGGCTTGTAGCACAAGGGTTTAGTCAAGAATATGGTCTAGATTATGACGAAACATTCAGTCCCGTGGTTCGACATACTACAGTTCGTTTGATTTTGGGTCTGGCAGTTCAATTTCAATGGAAATTACATCAACTAGATGTTAAGAACGCCTTTCTTCATGGCGAGCTCCAAGAAGAAGTCTTCATGAAGCAACCTCAAGGCTTTGTTGATCCTACATATCCTGATTTTGTTTGTAAACTTCAGAAGTCCCTATATGGCTTAAAACAAGCTCCTCGTGCATGGAATGCCAAATTTACAGGATATTTACCTACTCTGGGGTTCACAGTATCTCATTCTGATCCAAGCCTTTTTATCAAGAAAACTTCTTCTGATATTCTTATTCTTTTATTGTACGTTGATGACATCATCCTCACATGATCTAATCCTGCCCTTGTCAACTCTGTTATTCGTGATCTTGGGGACGTATTCGAACTCAAGGATATGGGTCAGCACAAATATTTTCTTGGTCTTGAGATTCACTATCAGGCTAATGGCAATATGTTTGTCAATCAAGCTAAGTATGCTAAGGATTTAATCAAGAAGGCTGCCATGGATACATGTAAACCTTGTAGTACACCCTCCGAACCTCATTAGCAAGCGTTGACAACTGATGGTCTTGCTCTTAGTGATCCTACATTGTATCGCAGTATTGTCGGGGCCCTACAATATTTAACCTTCACTCGTCCAGACATAGCCTTTGCAGTTAATACCGTCTGTCAGTTCATGCATAATCCCACTGTGTTCATTTTGGTTTTGTCAAAAGAATTCTCCAGTATCTGCAAGGTACTCTGCAGCATGGGATCGCTTTCTCTCCTGGCACTATGCTTCTCTCCGGCTATTGTGATGCCAATTGGGCTGGTGACCCAAACACTCGTCGATCCACCACTGGTTATGCAGTTTTTCTTGGCCATAATCCAATCTCTTGGGCTTCTAAAAAGCAAGCTTCAATTTCCCGAAGCTCCACAAACGCTGAGTATCGAGCTCTTGCTCATTGTGCTGCAGAGATTTCATGGATTAGACAGCTGTTATGTGATTTACATATGGTTATTCCTAAAGCTCCAGTTTTACACAGTGATAACTTGTCTGCCTTAGCACTAAGTGCTAATCCGGTACTTCATTCTCGTATCAAGCATATGGATATCGATTTCCACTTCATTCAGGAGAAAGTTCAAAACAAAGATCTCTTTGTTCAATATGTTTCCACTGATGAGCAAGTGGCTAATATTCTTACCAAGGGTCTTCATAGTCCCCTGTTTGTCAAACACTGTGGCAATCTCAGTCTTGGCTCACCCCCAGCTGAGATTGAGGGGGGATGATAACAGTATGATGTGCTGACACGTGTACTTGCTGAGGTGGCAAGTCTGTTAGCTCTTCACTTGTTTGTTAATCTGATTAGTTACTCTTGTTAGTCTAATTAGTTATTCTGTTAAGCTCAGATTAGTGAAGGAGTCATTGTTACACAGCTATATAAGCTTGTGATTAGTTCATTTCATTATCATGTAAGAAAACACTTCTGAGAAATATACAGAGCTTTACCTTTCATTCATTTCTCTCTCTAAACCTAGATCTAAAATACTTTCTTTCCACCATGGTTATCAATTTCATCATTTTTCATTTTTCTCACATCAAACAATTTCATGCATGAGTCTTATTGTTAGCTTCTGGTTTAGTTAAACCAATTTTTTTTTTTTTTTGTTGGTCTTCTAGATTCTTACCAACGGCAAATACAAGAGTGTGATGCATCGTGCCACTGTGAACAACAAAGCTACAAGAATCTCTGTCGCCATACCACATGGACCATCTGTAGATACAATTGTTGCCCCAGCTCCAGAGTTGTTGGAAAAAGAAGGCCAAGCTCCTAAATACCTTTCCATGAACTATAAGGAAATATACAACTTCAACAAAGTGAGAAAAACTACATGAAGTCCACCTTTGATCACATACGAGCCCAAGCTATTTACGGTGCGGCTTCGTCACGCTTCAACAGGACCCCGACCATATTGAAACAGTTGCAGCTTCCTTTATGTTTCTTTTCTTGTATCTTTCATATGCAATCTCTGCTTTTGTTTGATCTATTATTTCCAAGGCAGTTTATAGTCTAATCAGCAAGTCAATGTGCTCTTTTTTTTTTTCCTTTTCCAAATTACTACTCGCTTACTTTTTTCTAAATCATCATCTGAAAGGTACTGTATATAATCAGGCTATCTTTTTTCTTTTTTTTCTTTTTTGTCTTTTTTGTCTTTTTTTTTGTGTGTGCGTGGTTTTTTTTTAAGGCTTGGTAGCTGCTTGGGTGACTGGTTTCACACTCTTCTCCACTTAGAGCATAATCTGTCAAATGTAAAATTTAAAATGTTCAATTTGAATTTGATGGTTTATATATGTGGCAATTTCACACTTAGGGAAAAATTTAACTCCACTCGAAATTCTAAAAATTATATTATATTATTATATTTTTAAAAGAAAAATACACAACTTCTTCACCTCACTACACAATCCAGCACACAGTGAGATCTCACATTACTCCACTTCAAAGAATCAACATACCAAGGTAAGTAAGCGTAAGACAAAGCCTCATCACCATGTAAATCACGATTAGCAGACTCCTTCCCATAACAAGCAATGTGGTGGGGGATATCTAAACCATAATTCTCCTTCAAATAATTCATGATTTCAAACAAAACTTTGCATTTGACCACCAAAGACAAAAGAC